TTATTTGTTTAAAATGTGTGTGCGCGCGGGGGGGGGGGGGGGGGCGCCAGAAGGGATCCTCGCCTAGGGTGCAAAATAAGCTGGGGCCGGCCTGGTTGTAGCTTTGGTCAATGAATCCTTGGCTTTGTGATTTGATGAAGGTGCTGAGAATTTTATGTCAGAGGGCCCAAGCCTCCCTCACAGAACTGGAGTTTTCAGGGTTTCTCGGTGAGAGAGTATATCTATTGACACAATTCCAGCCATTTAGGACTCACTGCAGCCTCTAAAGAGACCATCTACTGCAGCAGGACAGACAGAGCTGGAGTAAGAACTTTTGCCAGCTTGACTTTTGCCCCCCCCCCCCCTCCCCCAGTGGTGCTGCAAAGGAAGGAGGAGCATCTGGGGCCGCTTTAAAAATTGTGACTGGGAAGAGGTGAAGTCCCATCTCCTACGTGACTGTTGAAAAGTGAAAAGCGAAAAAGATGGAAATTTGGGGAGCAATCCTGTTAAGTCCGATGCTTAACAAAATAGTCAGAGAGTGATTTCAGCAAAACTCAGGTTTATTTCAGCTCGACGATCATTTCTCTAACACGGTACAACTTCTGATAGCCCGAACAGCTATTCCATTGCAGCTGCTCGGTATTTAAACATTCCGGGCTAATGTAGCCACTACTACTATACAGTTATCAACCTATCAGGTTGAGCGCATAAAGGACCGATCAGAGTCTTTCCCGCTTATATACATTTGAACCTGATTGGACGCATTAGTCTTGAACTTCAATCCCTGTTCAAGACGAAGCTTAACATTGCTTCCCTATGAGATGTTTCACATTACATCTTAACGTATTCATGGCAGCTTCTGAATACATTACAAATTCTATGGAGGTCTACTCAGATGTGAGACCCATTTTGTGCTTCCCCCCACAAAAGTGTTCTTAGAATTGCAGCCTTAATGCTGCGTCCTAGTTCTGCTGTTGCAAAAATAGAGATCTTGAGTTGCAGTTTTTCTCTTGTTACCATATATATGATTTTGTTTTTGTTAGGTGGTGCACATGAAGGTCTGCAACACTTGGGTCCATATGGAAATATACCCAATATTGTTGCTGAGTTAACTGGTGACAACATACCTAAAGATTTCAGTGAAGATCAAGGATATCCTGACCCTCCAAATCCTTGCCCAGTTGGAAAAACAGGTAAGTTGCAAGATTTGCAGTACAATCCAAAAAAGTTACACTTTTGTAAGTCCATTGTCTTGAAGTATTTTATTTTGCGTATTAAAGGCAGAGGGTTTTGGATGCCTTTGCAGTAAAAATAAATTTAAATTCTACACAACCTAAATCAGAATAAGTAAATATGTACCTTTCCTTATTTGGCAGAATTCATTCTCCTTCCAAGATCCAGTTTTTAAAAGTGTTTTTTTACTTTTTGGAAAGAGAGAGACAGACAGGGGTCATTTCGTAGAAAAAGAGGTGCAGGAGCTCATTAGCATAACTAATTTGCATTTGTCACACCCCCTGGCATCACCAGAATTGTGTCAGAAGGCAACACCCACCGCTCAGGCTCCAAACTTTTAAAAAAATTAGCAGCAGTTGGTAATATTAGATGCCAGCCAGAAATGTTCAGGAACACATTTTTATAAAGGGATTAGAACGGTAGTATAATGGAACAGCTGAGATCAGTTTTATAAGTGAACAAGTCGGAACACGGAAGGAATTCCAGGAGGTATCTTTCCCATTATTTCATCTTTCCCTTTCCTGAAAGCCCCCATAACTGCTCCCCTTTTCCTGCTTCCTACTCTCCTTCTAGGGTTGCCAGACACTGGGTGGGGGATAGAGATATCCTGGAGTCACAACAGATCTCCCTACTAAAGAGATCGGTTCCCCTTAGGGTTGCGAGATCGAGGTTGGGAAATCCCTGGAGATTTGGGGGAGGAGTCTTGGGAGGGTGAGGTTTGGGGAGGGAAGCAACCTCAGCAGGATATAATGCCATAAAGTCCATCTTCCAAAGCAGCCATTTTCTCTGTAGTCTGGAGATAGGATCCCCAGGGTCCCACCTGGAGGCTGGCCACCCGTATGCGGCAAGAAGCGTGTCCTTGCTTTCAGTGGATTTCCTTGTTGGAGCTGATCTGCCTATGCTACATCCCACAATGTTTCCCAGGGTCTCCCAGCTTTCAGTAGCGGCTTTTCCGGTGGTACACTCGCAGGGCTCTTTTTGTAGCAGGTACTCATTTGCATATTAAGCGACACACCCCTAACGTAGCCAATCCTCCAAGAGCTTACAGTAGCTCCTATAAGAAGAGCGCTGTAAGCTCTTGGAGGATTGGCTACATTAGGGGTGTGTGGCCTAATATGCAAAGCAGTTCCTGCTACAAAAAGAGCCCTAGGAGGCTGCAGAAGACATGTCGAGGCAGGAAAAATCTGTTCCATACAGAGCTCTTTTTGTGGAGGGTTTTTGAGCCATCTCTTAGATTCCGATATCCTTTCCTTGTCCCAACCCATAGCTTAAATGTTTCACAAGGTTTGGAATTATTAGCTAGAACCCCTTTCCAAGACAAAAATGAGAATCCATAGCATTAAAAATTTGGGAATTTGGCTTAAGGGACAGCTGTTTAACTATATTTCTTCTTGAATAGAAGTTGCCATGTACTTTTGAAAAGGTGATGATGTGATTATTCCATCATGTACCCAGACAGACATGAATCAGGGTTGCCAGCTCTGGGTTGGGAAATACCAATCGGACATGATATTATTGACAGTTTCTATGAAAATTTCCCATGTGATACAAGTCACAAGCACAAGCTGCTTGTGGTGTGCATTGCAGTAAATTAATGTTGTGTAGTTCCTTCCCCTAGAAATAGCATCTGTATTTTCTTTTCAACAATTGAATTTTTAAAAATCTGAAATTAGACTTAGATCTCTCATTTTTCCTCCTATTTGTTTATCCCAATAGACTCTGTTAGTGGTTAAGACATCAAGATTGAAATCATGACTCCAATGCAGAGGTCAGTTCGGGAGGGATCGTGGGGGATCGCAGTTCCCCCGGGTGAGGTGCGGGGGGCGGGGCACACAACAAAGCCCCGCCCCTTGCTTCCAGCCATCCCGCTTCTGGCCCTCATTCAGCCAGGAGGAGGCAGGAGAAGAGGGAGGATAAGTTGCTTCCTCCCCGCCTCTCCCCACCCCTGCCTGCCTGGGGCCAGGGAGGGCCTTGGCGGGGCTTCCTCGCACTCCCGCCGGCCTTGCAGGTCTACCGCCGGGCCCCTGATGTCAGGGGGTGTGGCATATGCTAATGAGTTATGCTAATGAGTTCCTCTAGCTCTTTTTCTACAAAACTACCCCTGCTCCAATGGAATTATTATATTAAAAAAGGAGGTTTCCGGCCTCTTTTCTTTGTCCTTGATTTAAAAAATACAGCAAAAATTGGTGGTGGTTCAGCC